GTAGGATAAATTCCTAGAAGTAGAATTGCGTGGCCAAGAGATTTCCTGAGTGTTAATGTGGACAGATGTCGCCACTATGCCCTTCAAAGAATTTGTTCCAGTCTACACTGCTGCCAACCATGTTATGTGAATGCTTGTGGGAAGATCTTTGTAATCATTCTTAAAGTCTAGGGATGGAGGGGCTGTCATGAGAGGTGATAAGCTCCCTGTCACGAGAGATATGTAAGCAAGGGTTTAACAACTGCTTGGTGGGGGTGTTGTCTTGGTCATGGCTCCAGAATCACAGAAGGGAAGTAGGTGAAGTCACTAGAAGAAACTAAAGATTCTGTAGTTAGTGATCCCATCCATCCTGTAGGAAGTGTAGTTTGCAAGCCATCAAATGTTTCCTGAGTTATCACCCTCAACACCTTTGTGCATGAAAGGCCAGAGACCAGGTTCTAGGCCTCTCACTGGTTTCCCAGTGTCGAGAGAAATGTCAGGACTCATGTCTGACAAGTGCCCAGATATCCCCAGAAACTAAACCCTGCCCTCATAACATGGTGGGTTAGGTCTTCTTAGCCCCATTTTGCTTATGTGGAAACAGAGGCTTAGTGAGGGAACAAAATGGTCCAAGGCCACACAGCTAGGAAGGGGCATCTGGGATTATTCATTTGTAATAGGAACAACGATAACTACTTCTGAGCTCTTACTAGATGCCAGACCCTGTTGTATTGATTAATCTAGACTAAAACCACCATCAGCCCATTTTACAGGAGATGAAACTGAGGAATCTATTAATAGTATATGAACACATTTTCCTTGAAAAATATTAAATTTTTATAGTGAAACAAACATCTCATTTTGCTACAACCCACATGTGTCTTCTCTGCCACTACCTGGTGGTGTGTTTTTCCAAGCTGGGTTTTACAATGAGTATTGTCTCTAACATGCAACCTCATTAGATTCTCATGACCCTGCAGATGGATCTTTTTTCAAAAATTTTTTTTTTCTCCCAGTTTCTTTACTAGGGAATGGACATTCAGAGAGGCAAAGGTCCTTGCCCATGATCACATGGTCAGAAAAAGGTGGAGCCTGGATTTGAACCCTGCTCTGTCTGAACTCTACTCATGGTCTCATGGTTCCAAGGGACTGGAGGCCATCATTCTCACTGGGCGAGTGCAAATGTGAGTACCCCATGGATGATTTCATCCTCCAGGACTGAGGGAAGCAAGTGGAGGGGGTGTTCTATGTGAGCTTGGGGTAAATAGGACAAGCATATGGGAAGAAACTCATGTGTTACTTTATAAACTATTATCTACTGTGTGTGGAGGCTGCATAGGATAGAGCTTATCCCACAGCCAGACATATGGGTTCAGATCCATGCTTTTCCATTTACCTCGGCAAATTTACTTAATATCGCTGGCCTCAGTTTCCCCATATGGGAAACAAGGAAGATATAACAACAGCACTTCACACAGTTGTAGTGAGTGCCCAGGTAAGGTGAGCAATTCTTACGCCCTCTTCCTACTACAGAGGAGGAGATGGAAATTTGGAGAAGTTGATTCAGCCTCTCTCCAAGTAAGCTCATTTAATCCATGACTTTGGAAATTCTCTCTGTCCTGATGATGCCCAAATGTTTATCCCCATGCTGAAACTCTCACCTGAACCCCAGACCTGCAAACCCAACCAACCGTCTCCATGACAACCCAACTAGGGGCTCTCACAGAGCTGTCACACTCACGTCAGAGGCTAGAGTGTGGACCGGGTAGATGGAAAGGCTTGAGTGTGAATATCTGGTCCACTGCTTAGCAGCAGTGTGACTTTGGGGAAGTTATTCAATGTAAGAGTGATGGTTTCCTCTTGACTTTGAGCAAGACAGTTATATTCTCTGGGCTTAGTTTTCTTTTTTTTTTTTTTCCTATTTTGTTTTATTTATTTTTTCCAGCTTTATTAAGATATAATTGATAAATAAAATTGTATATATTTAAAGTGTACAAGGTGATAATTTGATATGGGTATATATTGTGAAATGATTACCACAATTAAGTTAACATATCCATCATCACCCACAGTTACATTTGTGGGTGTGCATTGTAAGGACAGCTAAGGTTTACTCTCTTAGCAAATTCTAAATATACAATACAGTGTTATTAACTATAGCCACCATTAGATCCTCAGAAATTATTCATATCTAAGAGGAAGTTTGTACCCTTGGCTGACATCTCAATTCTTTTAATTAATTAACTAATTAATTTGAGAGAGAGAGAGAGAGAGAGCATGAGCAGGGGGAGGGGCAGGAGGAAGTGGGAGAAGCAGACTCCCTGCTGAGCAGGGAGCCCAACACAGGGCTCCATCCCAGGACCCTGGGATCATGACCTGAGCTGAAAACAGGCACATAACTGACTGCGCCACCCAGGTGCCCCCAACATCTCATTTCTGCATGCTCCCAGCCTCTAACATCCACCATTCCACTCTCTTCCTACGAATTCAACATTTTTTTTTAAGATTCCATATATGGGGCGCCTGGGTGGCTCAGTTGGTTAAGCTTCTGCCTCCGGCTCAGGTCATGATCCCAGGGTCCTGGGATCGAGCCCCGTGTTGGGTTCCTTGCTCAGCAGGGAGCCTGTCTCTCTCTCTCCTGCTCCCCCTGCTTGTGCCCTCTCTCTCGGTCAAATAAGTAAATATTTTTAAAAAATAAAGATTCCATGTGTAAGTGATGTCATACAGTATTTGTATTCCTCTAACTGATGCATAATGCACTCTGGCTTCATCCATGTTGCCCCAAATGGCAGATTTTCCTTTGCTTTCTTTATGGCTGAATAATATTGCATTGTATATGTAATACATATATTATGTGATTTATGTTCTATATATCACATTATATATACGTATATATTATTTTATATATATTTTTATATATGTTATATATGTGTGTCACATTTTCTTTGTCACTTATAAATCAGTGGACACTTAGGTTGCTTGCATGTCTTGGCCACTCTGAACAATGCTGCAGTGTGGGGCATTGTATGGGGGTGCAGATGACTTTGAGATAGTGATTTCACTTACTTTGGGACACTTATGTTCTCTGGGTTTCATTCTTCTCATCCGCAATTCTGAGACATAGGTTTCTGACTATGAAATCCACCTACAGATGAGAAGATGAGGCTCAGAGGAAAATAGTCGTCTTGCTGGAATTGCAGGGTTAATAAATGGCACATTATCAAGCTTCAACACTTACTCCCCAGCTCCAGCCCCCATGACTGCACCGTTTAGCCAGATGCCACGCAGTCTGAGCTTGGCATGATTTTTGGGCTGCGTGGAGATGTGTGGGGACAGCCAGCATGAGGCTGAAATGTGCGTGCTGTGAGTGAGCACCCGGGGAAATTAGAAGAATGTGTTTAACCGGAGGGGCTTGGTGAGAACTGAGAACAGATCATCTCCTTAGCTATTCAACAGATATTTTTGAGCTACTTCTGTGTGTGCCAGGTCCTGGGGAACGTAACTATGTATGAGATAGATGTTCAGCCACTCAATAAAGCCAGGCTTCGTGTTAGGTGCTGGGGAGAGAATCATGGGCAAGACAGAGGTTCATGCATGCTGTAAAGGTTGATGGAGCATCTAATGCGAGCTGGACAGGACACCAGGTGTTGAGACGCCATTAAAGAGAAGGCTTGCCCTGCTTCCGAGGAAGGCATCCCTCTGTTCCTCCAGGGCAGCATGATGTCAGGGAACAGGTGTGATTTTCCTATTCATCCCCAAATCCCAGCTCAGTGCCTGCTACAGTGCCTGGTGTGGTGAATTCTTCTCTCTGGCTAAATAAATGAATAAATGTGGGGGCCATGCCTCAGGGGAGCTTGAATGCTGTGACAGCAGATTTTAAGCTTCACGTTGTATGTAACCGGAGTACAGAAACAACTGCATGATGTGGGTTCATCTGGATTCCTTTAACAAACACTAATGCCCGTGGACTTATCATGTGACCGCCCCACTGCCCAGAACTTCCGTGTATTGTGTCATTTATTCTTCACAAAAAGCCCTTGTGAGAGAGAAGTTATAGCACCGTATAATGGGGAATAAGTGGAGCTGGGCATTAAATGGAAAGGTGTCTACTCCCATGGTGCGCACAGTCTATAGAAGGAAATAGATTACTGAAGAAAAAGTAAAGTCGATTTAATTCCAAACTGTGTATAGTGGAGGGGTGGCTGCTTCCGTTCTTTCTGGCCACCACGGGAGGGGATTCTGAAAAGGTGATTTTTGAGTGGAGACCTGGAGGATGAGGAAAGTCCAGCCAGGGGCGCCCGGGGGGCTCAGTCGTTGGGCGTCTGCCTTCGGCTCAGGTCAGGGTCCCGGGGTCCTGGGATCGAGCCCCGCGTCGGGCTCCCTGCTCCGCGGGAAGCCTGCTTCTCCCTCTCCCACTCCCCCTGCTTGTGTTCCTTCTCTCGCTGTGTCTCTCTCTGTCAAATAAATAAGATCTTGAAAAATTAAAAAAAAAAAGTCCAACCATATCCACAGCTGGGGGGACTGAATTGTGCAAGTTTTTTTGAAGGTGAGAGGGAGGTTTTGAAGCTGGACTTAGCGAGCGAGAAGATCAAAAGAAGACAGGGATGGAGATGTAGCCAAGAACCAATCCTCACAGACCTTGGAAAAGGAAACCAGTGATACAAACAGCCAGGGAACAGCATCTCAAGGGGCAGGGATGGCAAGTGCAAAGGTCCTGAGGCAGGACCAGGCATTGTGGATGCAGCTCCACAGAGAAGAGGTCAGAGGGTGGTTGGGCCAGACTAGTTAGGGCGTTGTGGGCCTCCTAAGGCCCTGGGATCTCCTTCCATGCTTCTGGGGGGGGAGGGCATTCAAGGAGGACCCTGCGTGTGGCGTGAGCTGATCTGCCTTTTGATAAGATGCCTCCCCTGCTCTGCGCCGCGCACGTTGGGGAGACAGAGCCCGGGCAGGCGCAGCTCTGCTCCTCACGGCCTCTCCTTACCTCTTGCCCTCCCAGAGGCCCCTTCGCCCGCCCCGGGTCCATGCCGACGGCCTGGGCTCCCCCGGGCCCCCCCGAAGCCCCACCCTGTGCCAACCAGAGCTGCGCCCCCCACGACCTGGTCCTGCTGGGCTTCGCGCACGTGCCCACGCTGCGGCCGCTGCTCACTGCGCTCTTCCTGGCCATGTGCCTGCTCACGCTGCTGGGCAACGCGCTCGTCGTGCTGCTGACCGCCCTGGACCCGGCCCTGCGCGCGCCCATGTACTTCTTCCTGCGCCACTTGGCCCTGCTGGAGATCTGCTTCTCGCTGGACATCGCGCCCCGGCTGCTGGGGACCCTGCTGCGGCCCGGGTGGGGCGTGTCCCCTGCGGGCTGCGCCCTGCAGCTGATCCTGGTGCTGTCGTGCGTCACGTCCGAGTGCTTCCTCCTGACCGCCATGGCCTGGGACCGCTACGTGGCCATCTGCAGGCCCCTGCGCTATGGCGCCATCGTGAGCCCCCGGCTTTGCCACCTGCTGGCCGCCACGTGCTGGCTGGCCGGAGGCCCCGTGTCGCTGGTCTTCACCATCTGGCTGTTCAGCTTCCCCTTCTGTGGGCCACGTGGCATCCGCCACTTCTTCTGTGACATCGCCCCTCTGCTGAGCCTGGTGTGCGGGGACACCAGAGTCTTCGAGGCCAGTGTGTTGGCGGCCACTGTGCTGATTATGATTGTTCCCTTCTGTCTGATAGCCATGTCCTACACTGGGGTCTTGGCCACCGTGCTTCGGATGCCATCCGCCGCGGGGCGCCACAAGGCCCTGTCCACGTGCGCCTCCCACCTCATCGTGGTGGTTCTGTTTTATGGCACGACGGGGGTCATCCACTTGCGACCCAAGGCCAGCTACTCCCCAGAGAGCAAGCAGGTGGTGTCCCTGTCCTACACCCTGGTGACCCCCATGCTCAACCCCCTCATCTACAGCCTTCGGAACAAGGAGGTGAAGGCTGCCCTGGGGCGGGTGTGTTGCCGACACCAGGAATCTGGACCCCAAGAGTGATCTCTTCAGGAATTGTTGATGGATGTTTGACAAGGATCTGTGTGCAAATACAGATTGTGGTAGAGTACTCTGACTTTTTTCTGGAAAACTGTATTTTTTTCCTCTTCCAGTCATGGTAGTGCTGGTTCTTTCTGTCCAAGAAAAGGCTCATGACAGAGAATTCAGTTCCTGATTACAATTATTTGGTAGTGGTAGACAAATTAACCTAATTTGGGTCAACTAGAGTGTATTAGGTAGCAAGTGCCGCAAGACTGCTGTGTGGAACCTAGAATGCAGTGTATTAAAGCATGTTGTTTATTCCCGTGAATCTTCAATCAGCTGAGGGTTAGCTAATCTAGGTTGAGGTCATCCAGGTGGTTTTTCTGATCTTGGCTAGGCTTGCTCATGCAAATGAGTGTTGACTGTCGTAGACTTGGTGTAGCTAGTTTGGTGTACACGTTTTCCATCCTTCTCCTGGGACCAGAGCTCCAGCATGATTTTTCTCATTACAATAGCTGAATGAGAAGGCCTGGTTGTTCAACTGATTTTCAGAGCTTTGGCCATGTGACACCCAATAAGATGGCATTAGCCTATGCAAGTCACATGGCCATATCCCCATAGTCATGGGGTAAGGAAGTACACTCTGTCTCTTTGTGGGAGGAACCCTGAGGTTATATGACAAACGATATTGACAAAGGGAAGAGTGAGTAGTTTGGGGCTTTAGAACTTACTTCAGAGAGCCAGACACTGAGATTTTTGTTCAAACTTCTCTTTGTTCATAGCTGTTAAGGATGTAAGCTTATAGATGCCATCAACTATCTGGTCTTTAACGGGAGTTCCTGCTTGATAAAGGAGTCATTGCAAAGAGAATCAGAACCAGTGGTAGTGGATGGGGGGGAAAGATGTGGTTCTAATGATTTTGTTGAGTTTCTGGATCCAGTGATGCCTGAAATCTGTCCTGCCCTTGGGAATTCCTCTTACGTGAACCAATAAATTTGTCTTTTACTTAAGCCAACTTAGGTTGGTGTTCTATCCCTCTCAGTGCCCTGATTTACTGATCTCTAATAATTAGCCTGGTACATGAGTTACATTATTTCTTCTCTCAAGCTCAGAAAGAATATTTTTTTGAATATAGGTAAATGTATCAGAGGAAAAGTTTCTTCACTTCAGTTTATGGTCTACCTTTGAAGGGATCTGTTTTATCTAGAAGACAAACCTGGATTTGAATTGTCACTCTTTATTTTCTTGGTTGTACAAACTATGACTTGACTTCCCTGAGCCTCAGTCTTCTCATCTGTGAAGTGGGAGTAGTAACCATACTTACCACACCAGGTTGTTACCATTAAACAAGGGGATTTGTGGAAACACCTAGCACAATGCTTGAATACAGTTGGTACTCAGTTAATGGTCTCCATTCATTATTCACATAGCTGTCCTCATAGATTAGAAACCCAAAGCTCTATCTTTGGGAGGAAGTGTACTATAGTATTCCCAGGAGGCTGGATTTGGCATTGGGGGACTTGGAGTTCAAGTATGGAATGAAATCCTTCAATGTGGGTTGTTGGACAAGTCTCTCTGAGGCTCAGTCTCACCCTGTATAAATGGGAAAGGGTTTGAGGAAGAACTCCTGCCCTTCCACCACCCAGGTCTCTAATGAGACAATCAGTATAAAAATACAACTACTGCACAAGGCTGAATGAGTTTCTGTTCTTTGTCATCAGACCAGTTCTGCCAATGTTTTCACCTTTCCCAGGTGTTTTCTCCTTAATTTGACATCAAACAACAAACAAGTGTGTATTGAACATCAACTATGTATCAGGCACTTCCTGAGGCTCTCAGGACACTGTGGTGAATAAGACAACATAGTCTGGGCCCTCATGACCTTTCAGGAATGTGCAGCATTTTCTTAAGATGTGGTTCAGAAACACCTGGGGTGGTCGTTAAGCATGGAGATGTCACACCCAATGTGTGTAGATCAGCCCCACCCCATCTACGGCCATACCACCCTGAACGCGCCCGATCTGGTCTGATCTCGGAAGCTAAGCGGGGTTGGGCCTGGTTAGTACTTGGATGGGAGATCGGCCCCACCCCGATCTACTGAATCAGAAACTTTGAGATCACAGTCCAGGAATATGTATTTGTGAAAAAGTACCCTGGGTTATTCCAATGTAGAGATGTGGATCTACTAGTCTAAAGATCCCTCCTTAGAAGGGAGAGCACAAAGAAGGCAAACACATCAATCCCAACGCGGACACTAAAGGGAAAGTGGCCTACAATCTAACCAAACTCTCTTTCCTACCCCGAATCTCTGAGGTCTTCACCACTGAAATCTGCTCAACCTATCTCTATGGACAGTTATGACCAAGATAAGGAACCTCAGTTCTACTATCACTTGGAATATAGAAGTGGTCATTGGACCATCAACCCTGTCCCCCATACAGCTGTGGAGAGGAAGAGGTAAAAGGCTGAGCCTCCTGGTATTGGATAAGCCACCCCTTTCCTCAGCCGTGGGGCATCTCCCATGACATCTGTTGATTTTCCTGCTGTGCACTCATTCCCCCTTCTCCTGGTAACTGTAGGTGGATTTGTCTTTGGGAAGCTACATGCATCCTATCTCCTACAGTCTTTTGTCTTTGGCAGTTTGAGGGAAGTACTTCCTCTGCCTTCACCATGTACAGGGTGTTGGCTTGGGAACCCCAAACTAAGCCACTCCTGCACTTTCTCCCTGGAATTGGATCAGTGATGGAAACAAGCACTGAGTATGGAACTGACGGTTCTCAGTGGTTGGCCTGGTACTTCTTATCTGGTTTACCAAAACTGTCCTGGTCCATGATCCTGGCAAAATATGGTTCTTCAGCAATCCCACAGTCTCCAACCACTTTCTTGGCTTAAGTGACCCAGAGTTAGCATCTCTTTTGAGCAACCAAAGGACTTAAAATGATACTGCATCAGCCCCAGTTTCCCTGCCTGACACTGCAGTTCTGTTTGGCCTGGACCCAGTGGTTGCCAAGGTCACTTTACAGTGCTTTTCTCAAGAAGATGTTCTTGGGTTTTTTGTCCTTCTCACCATTGTTTCAGGTTCTTCTTGAAAACATGACCCAGTTGTTACTGGATTTGAGAACCTCATGGCCTCATAAACCCTGACTTTTGAGCCCTAGTCTCTAACTCAGACCTTCCAACAACCGAAGAACACAAGAAACCCTTGGGACAGTTGGTTCCAGGCCGCCATTCTCCCAGATCCTTCCTCTTACGCCCTGTCTCCCCTATCCCTGGGTGTAGCATGAGAAAGCTGTCTGACGTCAAGCCTATATTTTATGAGACCCAGAACTTTCTAGGAAGTGGGAAGCAGACCTCTAGTTTTATCCTACCCATGCCCCATCATCAAACATCCCTGGAGTATGCACTAGGAGTCAAGCCCTGTGCTTGCCTCTGTGGATACAGAAAGAAAAGACAAGTTTCTTCTTCTGAAATAACTTTTTATAGATGAGGACACAGAAGACAAAAAAGAAGTTATAATTTAGTGTGAAGCATGTTGTAGTAGTACACTGAGTCATTATTTTGAACATTGGGATGGAGATGAGCTAGTATGTATTGAGTACTATGCGTCAATCACCACACTGGACATGTGACATATTTGCGAATATAATTTTCCAGAAGATGTCTTGGTTTAATACCTGTCTGATGGTAATAATATTTTTGCTTCCATGTGCAAGGTATTTAATCTGCACTGAGCTCAGAGACTTACATGCATTAAATAGTTTTATGCTCTCAATGACCCTAGGAGGAAGCAAGCGTTATCTTATTTTATAGGGAGGTTCAGAGACAGAGTAAATCATGACAGTTCTGCAGCTATTGAGATTTGCTTCAAGAGCTGAATATCGTCTTTCAGTCTCCA